CTCTCTCTCTCTCTCTCTCTCTCTCTCTCTCTCTCTCTCTCTCTCTCTCTCTCTCACACACACACACACACACACACACACACACACACACTCACTCACTCACTCATCAGTGCACTGATGCACGCGCAACAACTCCCTCAAGCTCATCACGCCTATCCTGCCTGCATGGTTCACATTCAAAAACAGCCATGTTCTGACTCCTCCAGACATGTACACAAATATGTGAAATCACTGAAATCGTATATACCGAAATGGTATATACTTTCCGTCTTTACTGTATATATATAGGTATTCACTGTTCAGTTATTGAAACCAAAATCCGTGTCGTTTGCCCATCACTCTCATGGCTCAGTTTTTTTTCAGGTATTAAGAAGACTTATCGACTCTCTCTGCCGCATCTGCGTCGTGTCTTTTCTGAATGGGCTGTCTGAGAGTGATGCCCTCATTGTGTCAATCATCTCATACCTTCCACGTCGACAATCACGCTCTTCTTCGTGCGGGGCCATAAACAGCCTCTGTGAAGAAGTTCTGCATAGCCACTTCCCTCACCTACACCCTCTGCTTGAGAAAACCTAAACGCAACCCCCCGCCCTCCTCGCTCTACTTGTGCGAAAAACAGCAATGCTTCTGCTACCCCTCTTTGAGGGCTGCTAGATTGTTTCCACTGGCAGATGTGGAGTATTAGGGCATGCATACTCACACTAGCACTTTTCCCAAATGCATCTGACTGCAATGACGGGCAGACCTGGATGAACCTTAGAGCAATTCCGGCCAGAGTTCAGTAGAAAACATTGTCCCCTGAGTACGCCCTTGTTTTCCACAAAGCTTTCACACTTCTGCTGCCATCCAGCAACAACTCTTCCACCACAGTCACAGACCTGCAAGGTTGGACTTCCAGAATTGCAACAGCTGTCACTCATCTTCCTTTTTGTGAAAAATATCCATCCCAAGCTTGAAAATTTCAGTTTCATTCAGAAGCCCGTCTTTTGCGTCATCTGCGATTTTAGAATGGCCGCATGTGCAACTGTTAGATCGTACTCATCCATTCAGGATAACGTCATCTTGTCTGCCCAGTTGGCACTAGCCAAGTATGTTGTTGAATCATTTTGAACGCCTTTTCATTGCAACCACATACCCAAAGAGGAGATGAGCAGCTACAAATTGCCAATTGACTCCTTCGATGCCAGCGCTCCGAAATCTTCATTCGTCGTCGCCCTCCGTACGCAAGAAAACCGACCCCTTTTCCCAGCGTGCTCAGCTTCCGCCGCAGCCGCAGCCGCAGCCACAGCCCTGCCACAGAGCTGCAGTTTATGTCCATGCATGGATGGAAACCCACCCACAGCTCAATTCCGACTCCCCCTTCCCCGGATTATGTCACAAAGATTGGCTGTGTCGATTGCTGGCTTGTTAATTAACTCCGTCTTGACAAGCGTAAGGTCAGGGTCTTGGTGTGGAATTGTAACACCCCATGCGTATGCTGAGTCCTCAAGATTCACACCCGGATCTGGCTCAATGCTGGGCTGAGTGTTCGCTATATCACTCTTCAACTCTGACTGCATCACAGCGAGATCCGACCAAACAAAGACCCAAAGACAAGCAATGCATCCATCAAGCACTCCGTGGAATTGATATCTAAACTTCGGAAGGGATGGAAGGTATAAAGAAAGAACACCAATCTAACTGCGGTTTGACGGAGCTGGTTGAGGTCAGGTGATTGACCGTATGACAGCCGTGCTAAAAATTCTGACGGAGACCATTTGCTAGTGCAAGAGGTGATCTGATGGCAGCGACAAACTTTGATCACCAGGCCTACCGTCTTCACCCGAATAGAACGCCCGGTTATTATCAGCGTATATATATGGACCACAACTTGGCCCAAATGCAGCTATAACGACCGGGCCTTCTATTCGGGCGAAGACGGACGGTAGGCACATTGGACAAGAGGAGCCAGAGACATCAGCAATATGGACACCAACCAAACAGGGGGCTAACTAGTGTTTCATATTGTCGATCTGCGGTGGACCACGGTTTTAAGAGAGCATGCTGATGGCTGTAAGTTCCTGTAACACAGCATGACCATACATTGATCAATTGAAGATGGGTTCTTACTTGTCAATCGGAAGATTAGGGATGAAGGGGAAAAAGCGATAGGAGAAGGTGAAGACGACAAGGCCACAGATGAAGAGAGGGAGACGGTCAAGGAGAAGACTGCAGAAGAAGTAAGGGAGAGTGAAGGAGAAGAAGCCACAGAAGAAGAAAGGAGAGCCAGGGAGAGGAAGAAAAGAGGGAGAGTTGAGGTGAAGAAGTCGCAGAAGAAGAAATGGAGAGAGAAGTAGAAGAAGCCACAGAAGAAGAAAAGGACCAGTCAATGAGGAGAGGAAGAGGAGAGTCAAGAAGACTAGCATAGCGCCCATGGTGCAGGTGATGTGTGCAATGACACAAAAAAGCACGGAAAACATCACTCGAAGTGCTCACACAGACTAAAATGGACGCATTGAGTAAAACAGACTCAAAAGGTACTCAAAACGGG